ATGTTTAAAAAACGTATTATGGTACTACAGTCAAGTACGGTTATAGCGAACTTGTAGAGACCACGCATAATAGTTCGTTATAGAGCAAGTTCGTTATATCCAAGGTAAGACAAAACAAACAACGGCATAGCAGGAAAAATACATTCATTTATATCAAAATTTAAGCAAATAAATTTATTTAATAAAGATTCTTAATTACATTAGATTCATAAAAATGGTATAAAAACTAATATTTTTTGAAAAACTTTGCCAACTCTAAAAGTTTTGTGAGGATCGCCATCGTTAATTATGATGTATTTTTATAGCAAGTTTATTATAACCAAATTAAAATTAAAGAAAACTGAAATTTGTGACCGAAAAAACATTTCGTTACAAAAAAAGTTTAGTATGTCCTTATTTCGCTATAGAGTAGAGATTTGTATGAAAAATACATCCTAAAACTTCGGGACTAGGAAATGTGTTCGCTTATAACCGGTGTTCGTTATAAATGTACTCTACTGTATTTGCATTGGTCCATCGGGAGGATCGAGAAAATAGTACACTTTCGGAATTTAAAAAAAAATAAGTAAGTTGTATCATCAACGTTTCTGTTCGAAAGAAATGCGGGTAAGATCAGAGATTTTTCTAAAAAAAATCGATGATATAAAACCTGTAATTAAAAGGTTTCAAATTTATACTTAATCCAAAAGTATATTGTTTAGCTAAATGAATGTTTATTTATTTGTTAACTATAAAAGGAATATTATTTAAAAAATCCCCGCCTAACAAGGTAGCGGGTCTATGCTAGTCCTTTATAAAAAATATTCGTCCATGTGCTGCATTTCGGGTTTGCTCGAATGTGAAACATTTTCCCAAATTTGGTGTGCCCCATTCCGAATTCCCAAAAAATATTGGGAACATAATTCGAGCACATATACATATAGCCTTGTGGATTGAAAACGAAATAATATCGTACGTGTTTTTCTGAGCACGTACAAGTTGAAAAAGAACGCTAAAGTTATATTTAACGTGTTTTTAAAATATTTATTTAAAAAATACAGTATTTACATTAGTTTTTACAGTAAAATTAAAGAAAATAAAAAAGGACTCCTTTTATCAAAAACTGCACGTAAAATTGTTGAGATCAATCTGGCAACTCAACCACCATATGATCAAAATAAAAATATAATCTAAAAAAATCTACTTTTAAGATTTCCAATAGTCCTTTCAATAATTTTTCTTGCAGATGTGTGCACTTTATTATATCGATGTTGACAAGATCCATGCTCCATTTGTTTATAGGGCGTCATCAAAAAATGTGTCTAAAGCGTAAACACTGTCTCTTAGAACCCAACTATTTTGCATACCATTTTCTCTTTTGTTAATGCTGCCTAGCTGCACCCATAAGCCAAATAAAAGCATCATGGCTGGATCCTGGTCTGCAGCTATCCACAGCTCGAATTCTCATTTTATAGTAACACACCTAACTGAAAAAGAAAAATTAGTTTTACGATTACCTACATTGTTTCCCTTACAATCATTGCATTTATACAGAAGTATCCTTTTCTATTGTAGTATAAAAATGAGTCTTCATGTGTTAATGAACTATTCGGATTTGTGTTCCATCTACGCAGCCTATAACTCCTGGAAATCCGAAAATTTTAATAAAAATTCAATTTGGATAACCTCATTTTATCTTTACTCAAATTAATGTTTAACCACGCTGCACACACTTTGTCTTCCAGGACTTTCATTACTCTCCACAATCCACGCCTATTGCCTGTATTAATAAAAATTTCTCCGCCTATAGTCTTCTATCTAAAAACTATTATTTAAAAAATCCCCGCCTATAGCCGTCCATAAAAAATATGATTTCAAAAGTCCACGACTAGCCGACTAGCCGTCCATAAAAACTATTATTTACAAAATATAAGCCTATAGCCGCCTATAAAAAATATTACTTAAAAATCCACTCTTGCTTGTCGCATACTTTTAGGCGTATTTTATAATTTCAAGCCCATGTTTAATATTCACATTTTAAAAGAGTATTAAATTTCTGTTTAAGCTCAAGAATTATATGACTAATTAATTTGTTCTCTTCTCATCTTAACAAAGAGTTCATCATCATTATTTTATAGATATGGTTGGTTATAACAAAAAAATGAATTGTAAAAATAAATCATACATCCAACGATCGACGCGAGTAGAATTTTATCAGTATTTAGTTTATTGGCATAAAGAAAGAAAGCATTCAGAAACGAATACAACGTTAGTCATTCAGATATATATTTTTTTAAGTTCAATTTAAATATTATTATAAATATTGTAATGTAAAAGTGTAAGTGATTTTTTTGTTGTATTTAGAAAATTTAATATAAATAATATTTTTAAGCGACAACAAAGTCATAATAGTGAATTAAAAAAAAAATACATCAATATATTCTCAAAGGCCCAACACAGCAAAAGGCGTGGATTTTTTTTAAAATTTTTGTTTAACGTAGTTATAAGCCTCGATTTTAAAAAATAATATTTTCTCGACAGCGTGGATTTATAATGGAATACTTTTGCAACAGTCTTATAGCCGTGGATAAATATTTCAATATTATAAAAAATAAATATTTTTCAACGAAGTTGAAATGGGGTCTTCGGAGACCCCATTTTGTTTGTACATATTCTTGATCAGATTCAAATTATTAGTATAGAAACCCCAAGTTATTAAAAATCTTTTGTCAGAAAATTGTCACTGCAGGTCATATTTTTCAATAGCTGTCATATAAAGGTCATCGACTTATTTTCGATATTTTGATGGTCCTAGCGGCATCACTCAACCGTAGGAGTTGTAATATGACATTTTAAGTTCATGGAGATTAAACAAAAATATGTACGCGGAAGTTGTTCAATATAGGTTGACATAGTTCCAAATATAAAAGTCTCGCTTCAAACTCTTTTGATGATCCTATGGGCATTTGCAAAAAGATGTGGCTGTAATTTAATATTTCGGGTTCATGTTGAATGAAAACCTTCTTCACAAAAAAAGATAATAATATGGGTCACATAAGGGCATAGCATCATTTAATGTATTTTTATAGTCCAATGTGCATTTTCCATCCGAAGTGGGTGCTGGATTAAAAAAACACAAGAGAAATCGCTATGCGTGGCTTCATAAACTTATAGGAGGGTATTTTTAAATGAATAATTTTTAAAATCCTAAACTAACTTTAGTCGTAAATTTTCAAGACCCAATCCCCGCCATAGGCGAGGGTTTTAATGTTCTAATCCAGCTATAGGCGTGGATATCTTAAATACGCATCACATCCAGTATTTTTCCAATGTCCGGCAATGCTGGAATTTTTAAAGTTTTTTTTAGAAGCAATCAAAGCCAGATTTGTTAGCAAAGGATTTTTGAAGGTCCATCAATGCTTGGATTAAAAAAAATTTATGCCTACTCAAGCATTGGATTTTTAAAAAAAATATAGAGGGCTCTGTATTAAAAAAAAATTTCAATACCCAGCAAATCTGGGATATTTTTTATGCATTTTTGGAAGCCAATCAAAGCCTTTGCAAAGGAATTATGAAAGCCCACTAAAGTCTGTTAACAAAAACCGTAGAAATCGCTTATACAGACATCGCTTATAACGATGTATCGGTTAACAATATTTTGTGCAGCTTACTCAAACATTGGATTTTTTAAAAATTTTAAAATACCTTGGATTTTTCAAATTTTTTTCAGTACCCTGCAAAATATGGGATTTTTTAAAGAATTTTTAAAGGCTAATGAAGTCCTATATTTTTTGCAAAGGATTTTTGAAGACCCCTTAAAGTCTGGATTAAAGAAATGCAATCAAGTCGCTTATAACGACATTTTTTAAAGACATATTGTTTATAACGACGAAATCCAAAATAGTTCTACCCATTATTTCATATTTCGTGTCATGTGACCAATTTCGCTATGCCCTGACATCATAAATCGGCTGTAGATTTTTTGAAGGTTGCAACAACCCTGGCCCTAGCGGATTTCACGAACATTTTTGAAATCTGGGATTTTGTATAAAGAATTTGTCAAGGACTTCGAAGCCTGGATTTTTTGCCAAGGAATTTTGAAAGAAGCTATATTTTGAAGCCTACTCAAACATTGGATTTTGAGTGTATAATTTGTGAAGGTTTTTACTGGGGTCTTTTTGAATGTCCAACAAAGCTGGAATTTTTGTAAAGAATTTTTGAAGGCCGGTCGAAGCCTGCATTTTTAAATACATTAATCCCGCAAAAAATTCTGTCCATTATTCTTATCGTGTCTAATGATCAATTTCGCCGGACCCTTGGTCATTCGTTTTAAGTGATTTCGACTGTATACTTTTTGAAGGCTTTTCTACCCAGTGAAAGAACTCAAAATATCAAATTAAAGTTGATTAGGTTGAACAACGTGTCCCACAGGTTTAAAATACCGTACATTGGGGTCACAGTTATATGGGGACTACCCTAAAACATGACGAAAGTCATAATTTTTAGTAGGTAGACTTAATACTCAATCAGTAAGCTGGGTATCGTATAGTCGGCTTCGTCCGACTTTGGCCATTTCGTTCCAGATTTAGGCCTGGCAAATTTAAAGCACACATGCCATACACAAGTTCCATTATTTGCTAAAGGGAATTTCCAATAAGAGGCGACAAAAATAAACAAAAGTCCATTGAGGAGAAGTCTCAATTTTTTTATTGGTTCGGGGATTTTCTCGCTTTTTATCTTCAATAAACAGTGGCGTAGTTGGACCTGTTTATCATTCAAAGCTTTAAATTCTTCTGTTAAAATATTTATACATCATGAATGAGAATAGTAAGAGGGAAATACAACTAGTCTTTGAGAAACCCATGTACGCCAATTACAGTTGTTGGGCATGCAACGACAAAATAATGAAGAGATATTTATATTCTCTTGAGTGAATATTATTAATACACAATTTCAGTTCAACACAACCAGCAAACGATCGGAGGCTTAGTTTGAACAAACAAAAACATCAAAAATAAACAATGTCGGCGGTATTCCAAGGTAAACTGGCAGAACATTTAAATTTTGGCCATATTTTACAAATTGGAGCCCAGGTTGAAGCGGAGGGGTCGTGGTAAGTTTTCAATACAATGTAAAAAATAAATTAATTAAAAATCTACATTTTTTAGGTTCTGGATATCATTGACCACGGGACGCTTTCAAGAACGTGATCACATTGATATTGGCCTACACATGATAGTGAATACGCAACATGAAAAAATTATTGTCAAACAACAGGTTCAAGAAGAATGGGTGGAAGTGGCCACCAAAGAATTTAATACCGAAGAGTTTTTCACACGTTTTCAAATCAATCTAATTATGGATGGAGAAAAATTCCATATTAGCATTAATCGCAACCCCTTCATGTTTGTACCCTATCGCGTGCCAATTGAGTCATTGAATACGTTGAAAATTTCCGGACATTTATCACAGATCTATCAAATCGATCATCGTAAATATTTTCCACGTCCCTGGCCACCAATACAATTGTCCGAAGATCGTGTACATTTTAGTCATGATATACCGTTGGCTTTTCGTCCTGGCCATGTTATGGTCATAATGGTGAAATTGAGGGGTGATATGAAGGGTCGATTCATTATGCATTTTCGTAATGCCGAGAATATTAAACGGCAAGAGGTACACATTAGCATGCGTTTTGATAAGAAGAAGGTAATACGCAATTCGAAATTACCGACACAGAGTAAAAAGGATCCGCCGGAGAAAATGGTGTAAGTAAAAACAGGTTAAAACGTATTTTTGTTCCGTCGGGCCGAACCGGGTCGGGATCTTTACGTGGGGCTACCCCATAGTATATTACTGACAAGAGAAAAAAAATACAAAAAATATAAATACAGACACTTGGTTCGGAAAATTGGACTAGGACCTTGAACGTAAAAATATGACACTGATCTTTGTATGGGGACTATGTACTGGTAGAAGTATAGACTTGTATTGAAAAAGTTCCGTTAAGAAGTTATCGATTCGATTAGTAGTTATTGATGCTCTGAGAAAATTTTAGAACGTTTGGGTTGAAAACTGGGCTAGGAACTTGAACATACCAAAAAAGCGGTACCATTGAATAAGGGCTATTAAAAAATAGGGACCTGTATTGAAAATTTTCTGGGGGGATGTTTTTTATTCATAAGGAGTCTGGACTGCCAGATTATAGACCCTTCGGTGAGAGCAAAATAAAACTATAATATCGAAAACATGGCGGGTCCATCTTTATATTGGGGCTATGTGAAAACATAAACCTAAAATAAAAATCGTTTACAAAGATATTTTTCTCTCTGCAAGAATTCGGAATTGTGGCTAAAATTTTAAAAATGCCGAAAATGTAGCGGAACATTTTTTGGGAGCTATTTCCAAACATGTACCTATATAGAAAATATGTTTGTATTTTTCGGGGGCTATGTCCAAATATGGACCTTTAAATCCCCTAATGCAAATTACAGCCACTTCGATGGGAAAATGCTGCTATGACCTTAATAATACCTAAAATGGGACGGGATCTCTATGTAGGGCCTATGTCAAAACTTGGACCTTTATAGAACATTTTCTGCAAAGATGATTTTCATCTTCCAAGAACTGCAAATGTCAAACTACTGCCACTTTGGAGGAAAATGCAGCTTAAGCCTAGGAATTCCGGAAAATGGGATGGTACCTCTATGTGAGGGCTATGTCAATGTTCTAATACCCTTTACCCTTCATAATGGCGGAATGTCAAATTGCAGCCACGTTAATATGAACATTTGACTGAATCCTTAAAATACCGAAAATGGATCGGGTCCTTATGTGGGTATTTGTCGAAGACTGGGCTATCCTTAAAGAACCCGAAATGCTAAATTACAGCCACTCCGGCGGTAAAATGTTTTGAAAATCTTCAGAATACCGAAAATATAGCGAAATGTTAATATGGAGGCTATGTTCAAGCATGGACCTATAGTGAATATTTTCTCTAAAAATGATTTTCTCCCTCCAAAAACCCCTAATGTAAAATTACAACCACTTTGGTAGGAAAATGTTGCTAATGTTTGATGCCGAAACATGGACCTAAATATATCGAAATTGTTCAGAACAAATATGGTGCACTCTCAAAAAACACCTAAAGTTCCGGGAACTGTTGTAGATCGATATTATTATTTTTTCCTTATGTAAACACAAAATATGAAATTAGAGCTACTCCGATGGGAAAATGCGCCTAAAACATTCAAAATATAGCGGCATTGGAGCTATAGAACCGATATTGATAATTTTTGTGGAGAGTTTTGACATCCAATGAGAACACAAAATATCAAATTAGATAAAATTCGCTTGAAAGTCGTGCACTACGTCCCCCAAAATACTAAATAGTGAGCGGAACCGTAATATGAGGGTGAAAACGTGCCGATGATTCCAAAATACCGAATTTTGGGGGGCACCGTTATATATGGGCTACACGGAAAAGTGAATCTATAATTAAAATTTTTAATAAAACGATTTGCTATTGAATGAGAACCCCAACCGAATTGCCTATATTACAGGAAATTCGTTTGAACAATATGCCCAGAAGCCCTATAATACCGAATACGTTGTATGGGGGCTACCCCGAAATAAGGATGAATATCGATAATTTTTTGTCTAAAGATTTACTACTCAATAAAAATACCAAATTGTAGCCAAATCAGTTTCCCAGAAACCACAAAATACAGACTATTGAGGGATACCGTTATATGCCCAAAACGTGGGCCGATATATACCATTTACAACACCAGAATATCCTGGGATTATTAGCAATGCATGTGTAAAATTTCAAAGCTCTATCTTAAATATTTACGAGCACTATCATGATTTCAACAGACAGACATCGACATAAAATTTATTGAATATTTCAAGTCGTTGCCTAATGGTGAAGTTTATAAAACATATTTTAAATTTTCTTATATTTGAATATTTAATTTTTTTTCTTTTCAGTTTTGGTAGCGAAGAAAAGGATGGTCAGTTTCCATTTGAGGATTTTTCAACGCCGTTTAAAGTAGCGGTGGCATTCACTGAGTCGCATTTTCGTATGGCTAAGGATGGTGTATTCCTGTTTGACTATGCCCTGCGTACACCAAATGTTTTGCCTCAGATATCTGGTGTCAAGATTTTCGGTATCGATGGTGTGACGGTACGTGTCAGTTCTATTGATCATTTCCATTTGGATGATCCGAGGTGTGAGGGTTTTGAAAAATTATCGAATAAAAAAATATAAATAATTTTATAAATGATTTGTTAATATGTCTCTGGTGCAATTGAAAGTACACAAGTGACAGTCGGTGTTGCCGACAGATATATGGATAATGGAAAATTAGAAAATTCTTTTAAAATTCCATAAAAAAAATTTGAAAAATTTTTTTGCGAGCACATTCATGATTTTTGGTACATAGATTAAGGAAAATATGCTGATTCGAAATTAGTTCGCGTTCACAAATTCGGATGCTGCGCACAAAAGTTATAGCGGCTTTAACTCTTGTATTTTAAACATAAATTAAATGAATTTCTATTTGTTATAAAAGTCGCGAAAAGCAAATTGAAGCATAAAGATATCTGAAAATAAAATAAATTAATTTTTTATTAAAACAAAACTTTTTTGAATTTTCGATTTTTTAGTACGGTTAAGGGAATACGGCTTTGTCTAAATCTTCTAAAATATGCGACGCTTTGTAGATTCCTCTGTTAAGAGTTTTGACTTTAAAAATGACCAAATATAATGCAGTTACAGTATATGAAAATGATCAACATTAAAAAGGATGGTTAAGAACCGCGGATATGCCGACAAAATCAATTTTGGATAAAATGCGCATATTATTCCCGTATCGATGTATTTTTGACCTATTTTCACACAGATTCGCGTATATGACAATACAAACATGAATGTATGTAAAAACAATTCGAAGAAAAACGCGATTATATATGCGAATTTGTCAAAATAAGTTTTTGCCATTTTTCCCACATCCAAGGTACCATATCCGTCGTTTTATTGGGCGGAATTGAACATGGCTGGGCTCATTAGAACTAAAACTAAAATCACGCGGGTTTCCGCGACATTAGAATGGACTTTCTTGATTTTAGGCTCAAAAAATATGTTTTTTATAAAAATTTACGCACCAAATTTTTGTCTTTGGAACCCGATTGCAACGAAGCATTCGTTAAATATACACTAAACGAAGCAAAATCACGAGTTCTACAATACTATAATCAGTTAAGTCCATTATCTGGATGCGAGTCCTCAGTTTAAAAAGAATTTAAAAGATTTTTGTAATTTCCCATATACCCTCAGCTTATGGTTTGCGGAGGTATATGGAATAAAATACAGGAAATAAATACAGGTTTATATGTTTTTATCAAAGAGTTTAACCTCTTCGGAGAGTTATCAAAAAAGGTTCCTCTATAGAACCTATCTTTGGATTTAATGTAGGTTTTGTTAAATAATACTAATTTTCAAAATTTAGATCAAATTAGACCATTCCATTATCTTGATATTGAATCACAAAATTTTCAAAATGTTGACACATTGAGGGAAAGGTACCGGAAGGAGTAGATATACGGCTCCAGTCTTCCTCTCCATATGCAATGTTTGTATGTATTAGGATATTCCGTTCGCTCCATTTCAGATCTTTTTTTTCTGAATATAGGACGCTTTGTGGTGGAGGTAACAGAAACAACTTAAATATAAAACCAGTGAGCGGAGCAGTATAGTTAGACGGGGCCGACCTTAAGATACCCTACGCAACTAACACTGATTTCTAAGTTTCTGCGTATCTATTCCTACTCCTCTATGGCATCTTTTCCGGTCCATGTTTTTCTGAAGTAAAACATTACTCCGTTAGATTGCTTTCATTATTGTGGGAAATTTGTGATGTTCGGCTTGCCTTTATCGTGTTAACAAATTATAATGCATAGACTGACGGACACACATGTCTAGATCGACGCAGCTAGTCGAGATATGACGATCGGTATACTCGGAATAACATATAAAAACTGGGTCTGGGACCAATATTTCGCGTTACACACTCTTGGGGCCACGCAACGCTATAATACTCTAACAACATAGTTGTGTGGAGTATATATAGGAATGACATGAAATAGTGCAACCTGAGGAAAATGGAAACACTAAATAAGTAAACAGATCAACCACTGCTTTTAAAAGTCAATAGATGGCAGCCCCATCTCCTAGGACAAGCTACAGCAGATCCTATGCTTCCAAGAGGAGTAACTGGAGAAAAAATCTCATTGTCGCACATAGGGAAATTTGCAGACTAACAGGTATTCTCGCTCCGCCTATCAAATTTGCACATGATTGGATTCGTTGGAAACAGAATGTGGTGGAACATTACCAGTCACTACCAGCAATTGCAAACATTCGAACATTGCAGACATTAACTCAATGAAAAAGGACACAGAATTCCTTGTGTTTGTCCATCTGTTGGTGCTGATTAGCCCTCTCATTCTTTTCAGCTAATTTTTTATATGCTTTATAAATTAAAATCTAAGGCTTCTTCGCCATATTTACGTACATACATTTAAACATAAACATATTACTAGTGCAGTATATATCTCGCTATTGGTAATATTTTCTTCATATTTCCATAAAGATATGTTAGTTATCCTACATCGTAAATAAGCAAATTTATTTTGATATCATGCATCCAAACTAATAATGCCAATAAATTTTGGCATTGATGACATTCACTGATAATAATCAAATTGACACTTTTGTTTCTTTAACAAAGTTCTTAAAGTCAATTTTGTATTAAAACATCATTTAAATCCCATAATCTGCTTAAACAAAAATCAAAAGAAAACTTTATGTGTTACCAAAGACAACAACAACAACAACAACGAAAAAACACAATCTAAGTTTCCCACAACTTACAGTCAATGGTTTTATGACGATATATTTTTTTTAATACCCAAAGGGCATGAGAAGTTTTTTTCCTATTTTTGCAAAAAAAAAAAAACTGTGTATGAGAAAAGTTTTTCTTTTGAATTTTTGGCAAAAGGACAATCGAACTCCAAGTGGGAGTGTAAAAATAAGAAAAAACATTGAACTACCAATCGACAGTTAGTAAAACATTTTATGGCATCATTGGTCATTTAACAGCCCCAAGGACGTTTGAAATGTGGATGGGGGGTGTGAGTGTGGGTAAAAAACTGACCATAAAATATGGACGAATTTTCGTTTTTTTCCCTTCATGTTGGGGGTTTGTTATTTGTCTTTGCATTTGTTTTTTGTGATGGAAATAAATTGTGTGTAATAAATTATGTAATATTAAAGGTGTTAATGTCAGACTTCGATAACTATTTAAATTAAATAATTCTTATTGGAGAAGCTAAATGATATTTTATTGTGGAGATTGATTGTAAGCTATTGCATACTTTTAGGATGATTAAAAAAATGAGATTTAATGATAAAGAAAACGACTCATGTAACATTAAACAACAAGATTTTGTTTGCGGTTATTGCAGATGAAATCCGCTTAAAATCCGGATATATCTGTCTTTCAGATTGGGTAAAAGTGAACAAGTGAAGAAGCGATAAGTTCGGTCGGGCCGAACTTTGGATACCCTCCACCATAGGTATACTGACAGATACTTGAAATAAAAATATAGGTAAAATACCAAAAAGTGAACATAAACCGATAATTCTACAAACGAATTTATGTAAACCATTATGTACACCAAATAAACGTTTTGGCAATTTTTAATGGGGATTTTTCTTAAAATCTGAAAACCCCAAAGCATGGACTGATACCAATAACGCATGGTAGAGTATAAAATCCTCACACTGCTGAAATTTAGCTTGCAAAGTTATATGAGGCTATGGCTAAAGGGAGACCAATATTGATTACGTAGTGAATTTTTGGGGTTATCATTATATTAGGGCTATGCCTAATTAATGACCGACATATATATATTAATTTGGAACAAAACATTTTAGTTATGTATCTCAATTCTTCTCGTCAGGAATTATCATTATATGAAGGAGATGCCTGAATCCTGTCGATATACATGAAATACAAATTTAAAATTTCAATTTACAACAAAGTTTTAGAACCCGATCCAAAACGCGGAACAAATCGGCTAACTATTTTAATATAAACAAGTGAAAAATTGAAACATATTGACAATATTGTGTAGGAATTAGCGAATACTTGGTGTTTTCATTATATAAGAGGTTATGCCTAATTAAGGGCCGATATAGCTCAAGTTCAAAGCTAATAATTACGTTTTGAATCCCAATACCGTGCATCACGCTAAATATTAAATATGTAGGATGTTTTTTATAGGACCTGGGCCTAAATGCGGGTCGATATAGTTCATTCTCAAACCTTACGTTCTAGTTTTTATGTCGATATCCTCCGATAGAATAATGATAACAACATATGGCTAAATCGACTAAATCGTTTTACAGAATACCCCCATTCTATGGTCTACAGAATATCCCCCATTCTATGGTGGAATACAGCTATATGGGGATAACCCCAACACACAGAACAAATTAGCTAACTACACAAACAAATTAAGTTTTCGGTCCACTTCATCCCAAAATTATTATGTGATCATCACCGAAAATTATAGGCGTTGTCCTTGAGCATAACTGGGATCTCATGGAAAATTTCAAAGCGAATAGAACACAAATTTTGTAATTTTTCACACAAAAGTCAGGGTCCATTTGGCCCGCTAAATATTGAGCAATCCTTATCAAAACAGGCATGCTTATTCTTTGGTCCGATCCCCTTCTCCATGTAAAATTTCGCGATGTATGGGCCATAATTGCGGCCTCTGGAGCGACCAGAAAAACGGACAAAAATTATGTATAGGGGTCTTCATTGGCCAGAACCCATCCTACATGCAAAATTTCGTGAAGATTGGTTCATAACTGTGGCCTGTATCGTGTTTACAAATTATAATGGACAGACGGACTGACGGACACACATGTCTAGATCAACTCAGCTAGTCGAGATATATACTCTTTGGGCTGCACAAAGCTAAAATACCCTGACAACATAGTTGTTTAGGGTATAAAAATGGGGTTATATGGGGACAACCCCTAAAATGTGGCGAATACTAATAAGATTTTGTAGGGAGATTTGATACCATATACGACTACAAAATACCAAATTACAGCAGGTTGAAAAACGCCCTCAAGAACCCCAAAATACCGAAAATTGGGGGTTCCCTTATATGGGGGCTATCAGTAAAAGTGTTTATAATTTTTGGTTTAGACATTTGGCAAATAAGAACCCAATGTACCAAATTTCTGCGAATTCGGTTTAAAAACGCGTTCAAGAACTCGAAAATACCGAAAATTGGGGGATACCCTTATATGGGTGCTATCCGAAAAAATTATCTTATATTTATAATTTTTGGTTGGGAGATTTGCTACCCAATGAGAACTCAAAGCGCCAAATGTTAGCGAATTCGGTTGAAAAACGAGATCAAGAACCGCAAAATACCGAAAATTGGGGAGCTATGCCTAAACGTGGACCAATATATCCCATCTTCGAACTTGACCTGCCAGCAGACAAAAGACATGCTTAAATCGTCATAGAATTTTACGCTGATCAAGAAGATATACACTTTATATGGTCGATGCGTTACAAACGGAAAAACAAAACTAATATACCCTCCATAC